AAATTAAATTAAAGGGAGGGGACTTACTTATCGTCGGGTGTATCTACAGATCCCCGAACTGTGGCCCACTAAATCAAAGGAACTTAAGAACCTTAATAAACAATGCGGCGATGCTCAACCCCAGCCACCTCCTTATCATGGGGGACTTTAACTATGGCGACATCGACTGGAGAAACGAGTCAACCCCAAATGACTTGAATAATCCTGCTACTCTTTTTGTAGAAACTCTGAGAGATAATTTTCTGTTCCAACATGTGAGAGACCTGACACATTACAGAGGGGAGCAAACACCCAAGCCACTTGACCTCATCATAACAAACGAGGAGGGTATGGTGGCCAAACTGGAACACCTTGCCCCAGTTGGCACCAGTCACCATACAGTGTTGTCATTTAGATTTAACTGTAACCTAGTTCAAGATAAGGCCAGGCCAAGGTGCAAATATTAAAAGGGAAATTACAATGGGATGAGGGAAGAGATGAGGGGTATCAACTGGCCTGACTTATTAAGGTACAAGAACGCAGACACTACGCTGAATATCATAACTAGTAAAATGACCCATTTGATCGATAAATATATACCCAAGACCAAACCCGGTGCTTCTAGGAATACGAGGGGATCCCTACACATGAACCATGCGGCGGTCGACAAAATTAAGAAGAAAACCCAGAAATTCAAGACGTGGGTTGGGTCAAATGATGAGCAAGACAGGAGGATGTATGCAAGAGCCAGAAACCAAGCAAAGATAGAGTGTAGGAGGGCTGAAAAGGAGTTCCAAAGGCTGAGTTTGCCGGAGTCAAAGTCAAACCCAAAGAGCATTTTGCCGCTATGCAAAGTCCCAAAATTAATAGCGGTAGAGAGTATCAGACCTGAGGCTTGAAGATGGTAGTTACGCAGATTCTGACCAGGATAAAGCTGAGGCATTGAACAGCTTCTTTTCCTCAGTGTTCACAAGAGAGGATGCAACTAACCTTCCTGCGTTTGAGGACAGACGGTTCGACACAGCACTGACCCACATTGTGTTCACAGAAGAGGGTATTAGAAATAAACTGTCCAGGCTAAAGGTCCATAAGAGTCCTGGACCTGACATGGTGCATCCTAGAGTGCTAAGGGAGCTGTGCAACGAGCTTGCAGAGCCCCTGAAGATTCTGTTTTGTAAATGCCTGGATGAACAAATGGTCCCCAGTGAATGGAAAGTGGCTTATGTGAGTCCTCTCTTCAAGAAGGGCGATAAACACTCTGACAACTATAGGCTTGATGGCTGATAGCATAATATACAATGCGAGTATTATCGAATGTGATGGAACATCTACTCTGGCTCAACCATGCTAGATTATATCTGGTTTTTATGCCGGGGCGCTCTTACTTGACACAATTGCTCAAGGTATTGGATATTTGGACCCATATTCTAGAACGGGGTGGTAATATCGACAATAATTACCTAGATTTTGCCAAGGCTTTTGACAGTGTACCCCACGAAAGGCTGAAAATCAAACTGGAAGGGTACGGAATTCGGGGAAATGTCCTAGCGTGGATAGAAGACTTTCTACATGACCGCAAGCAATGTGTGGTGATTAATGGCACGAAATCGTCATCTGTACCTGTAACAAGTGGGGTACCGCAGGGTAGTGTATTGGGCCCGCTGTTGTTTGTTTGTTTCATAAATGATATGCCTGACGTTGTACACTCCTCCATACAAATGTTTGCCGATGACGCCAAGTTATTTCGGGAAATTAAGAACCAAGAGGACTGTGAAGAGCTGCAGAAGGACACCAGATGTCCAGATGATCAGAAGAATAATGCTGAGTTAATATCGAAGTGTAGAGATCCTGCAGTGTGATGAGAGGCGTGCCATATGTCCCAGGATAGAAGAAATATAGTTGAGACTGTGTGTGTGTGAGAAGGACCTATAGGGTGTGTGTGTTGTGTGTGACTGATTCTGGGCATTTAACAGAAAAATTAAATCAAACCAAAATAATTAGTGAATTGTAGAAGGTGGATTTCAGATATCCGTCTCGTGACTGATCATCTTCAGGGTGAAATTGGCTACCTCTGGAGTACTGTCACCCCATCTGGTCCCAGGAATATTTTGGGCTGTCAGTTGGTTGAAAATGTTCAAAGGAGGGCCACCAAACTGGTGCCTGCACTTCGGCATCTCAGCTACCCTGAGAGATTGGAGCGCCTGAACTTGCCTAGCTTATACTACAGACAGGCAAGGGGGGACCTAGTTGAGGTTTATAAGCATCTCAGGGGGCACTACTCAGTTGAGTGTCCTTACTTGGAGCTGGCGGACGCTCGCCCCACAAGGGGTCACAGCTCAAGATTGAAGAAGCCGCAAGTCCGGAAAACCGTGGTGCAGCTTTTTCGGAATGAGGGTTGTAAACTCATGAGTTCAATCTGAAAGTATTGTGGCACAGTCATGACTCTTGAAGACTTGACTAACACTGGAGGCGGGTTCAGAGGGTACATTCAGGCAGTGCATGCCCAGTATTTACTTAACAGTGCTGACAGAGGCGTGACCGATGCGCCCGGCAGGCGGCTTCTTGAGCCGACCTTTTTGGTGAAAGAATATAAAAGGAAAAAGAAGGCGGCTGACCCGATACGCCCAGCAGCTATAAGCCCGATCAGTGGCGAAGAGGATAAAAGTAAAAAGTAAAAGTTCTCCATAAGCCCTGTTATTTCTATTACACGAATTTCTATAACACGATGTTTTACAAGAACACTACTATCGCTTTATAGCAGAACTACCTGTATACCAAAATCACTATCACTATCACCAAGCATTCCTAGGATGTCCACGTGAGCACTGTCATCACTAAACACACGTTCAGGAATAATGTGCTCCTGAACCTATACCAGAAGGCCTGGCCTCACTCAACTCTTGCTCCAATATCGGGCAGATATTGCACAGCATTTTACACACCCGTGGATGAACAACATCATTGTTACGCCGAAAAGTTATCAAAAATAGCCATAGAAAGTATACTGAACCTCCTTATGCTATACAATGCACCAAAACTAACAAGGAGGCAGCATCTGGGCGCGCGGATTGGCCGAGGAGCTGTGACATAGCAAGGGGAAATCCATTGTGATTGGCTACCTCAGGGGTATGGTCCGAGGGAGGCGCGCTGTCATTGGCTCGTGCTCCTCTCGCTCTGAACGGGAAGTTGCCACCTTCTTTGACTGAGCGCACAGCCAGATACGTAGCTCCAGGCCTGAGGCAAAATCACGCCTAATTTTGAAGGACTTTCTACCATATTTCTATTCTAGCTAGAGCGTTACATCCAACGGGTGAAAATAGTGATATCCATCAAAAAACGCATTTTGGCCAGAGTGTCACTTCACCCCCCCTCTAATGCTGAGCGCCTCAATTCTAGTGGGTTATGAGAAACATAACATCAATTCTAGTGTGTGATGAGAAACATATTTCTAGTGGGTGATAAGAAACACTACTTCAATTCTAGTGGGTGATGAGAAACATAGTTCTAGTGGGTGATGAAAAACACTACATTAGTTCTAGTGGGTGATGAGAAATACCATCAACAAGGGAGAGTGAAGCCATGTGTCATCTTCATAGACGTCTGTGTAATTTTTATCCTAACCTAACCTAACATAACTTTAACCAAACCTAGCATAACGTAACTTAAGATAGCATAGTCTAACTTAAGATGACCTGACCTAACACAACTTAACCCAGCTCAGTAATGCAGTGTTTCTCATCATCCATCTCATGTTTTTCATCACCCAGGTCAGTAAAGTTTCTCATCACCCAGTTCTCTAATGCAATGTTTGTGTTCATGTTTTACTAGAGCTGTAAAAATACCCAAAATAACAATGCTGCACTATACAGTTCAATACTATGCTTTATGTCAGGTAATGGAAGCTGTGTGTGTAATGCTGGACCTCAAGCCAGAGAGGAAGCCAGACCCTAATGGCTCAGGAAAAATGATTGAGGACTATTGGGCACCATCTCAGAAGCTGTTGGGGGATATGAAGTTCCTCCAGAACCTGCTGCACTATGACAAAGAAAACATTCCCACAAAGATTATCACTCACGTCCGCAACGAGTAAGTTCAAACATTATTTCCGTGATATGGTATTCATTAGGTAATTCATCTTTGCCATTAAGTATGACCAAGACAGAGGCTATCAGAGTGGTGTTGAGACAGACAGACCGATATGAATAAACTCATACTATTGAACAAATAAAATGCTGTAAAAAATTATCAACATTACTACTGTCTCAGTACTGTACTAACATGTAGCTACCTGATGCTTGCACTCAAGAGTGTGCATGGTTATTCAGGACGGATTACATCTTGGAAAATTTTCTTGTTATACCAGTATATTTTCCTTCACCCAATGAAAATGTAAAATAACAGTTGAAAATCTTGGTTGCTGGAACAGTGCTGTTGAATATGGACGCCTTGAGAATGACACACACAGTAATAACTGTGTAAGTCACACTACCTACTGTCACATTTAGAAATGAGTGTTCTTCCACTTTAACCCTGAAACCTATTATAAACTCACAAAAAGTAAAGGAAATAAATGTTGAGACATTTTAAAATGTACTTATCCATTAATTTACTTATTCATGCATATGTATCTTATGCTCAGGTAAATACATACTATTGTTTCACAAGAAATCACAAAAAATAAAATCCCTCTTTTATCTTTAAAGAAGACTTGAGTGACACATAAAACTGTGTGAGTACTGAAGTGGATGACTTAGGGACTTTCTACTTCCTGCCAGGTTCTACTCTCACCCGGATTTTGACCCAAAGAAGATACGTATGGTATCAATGGCTTGTGAGGGCCTCTGCCGATGGGTGAGGGCCATGGTTGTCTATGATCAAGTCATAAAGATTGTCGCCCCCAAGAAACAAGCTTTGGAGGCTGCCAACCATGAACTGGCCCCCCAGAATGAAAAGCTAGAGGAAAAGAGGAAGGAACTCAGAGAGGTAATGTGTGAACCGAGAAAGATGTGTGAAATAAAAGACATTGCATGTAGAACCATTTCAACATATAGAATTACTGTATGGTAGACTTAGTCATCATTATATTATGAAGACTACTATTCCTTCTACAGTATATGTTCATCTACCTGCAATATGTGCATGAGTCTGCTCAGGTGTTGTGAAACAAAAGTTTTTTAGTTAACCCTTTACTTGTCATATTCCTAGATCCATGTACGTGAGTGACCATCTCTGAGCAGTCCATTACGTAGATCAATGAATTTGACTTTTTAAATTTCCCACAGCATCTGAAATGGTCCAGAAGGATTAATATATTTAAAATATGGCACATGGTAACCTCTCAAGACACATTAGCCTGTATCAGCAACCTCTGTCCCTCCAAAATGCTTTGTTTACTAACCCTACCACCACTACATCCATCCAGTCCCTCCCCAACATTTCCCAAGTTTGCTGCCCACATCACAGGCTAACAAATATGCCCAGAGACTTTCTCACGTATGCAAGAACACAGTGTTACTTGAAAAAGTGCACACAGATGCTAGGTATTGCAGCAGTGAGTGTGATCTGGTAGAATGTTCCAAGAGTTCACAACTCTCACTCCGAAAAAGTTTGCCCTCACAGTTTTCTGGACTTGCGGCTTCTTCAGTCTTGAGCTGTGACCCCTTGTTAGGCGAGCGTCTGCCAGCTCCAAGTAAGAACACTCGACTGAGTAGTACCCCTTGAGATGCTTATACTACACCTCAATTAGGTCACCCCTTACCCGTCTGTAGTGCAGGTTGTACCTCTCTAGTCCGGCATTCTGTGGTCCAGAAACTCCCGTGGTCCGGAACGATTTTAGTTTGTCCAATAGGTAGATATGCAGCTTTCTTTTCTTTTTTTTCTTATCTGAATTATTATTATTACAGGAGTATTAAATTTTTGCCCCTCAGGCCCCAATGTGGGTCAGTGACTTATGCATAGGTGGGCTAATCTCCTTAAAAAAAAAAAACAAAGCCACGGGAAATTAAGGTTTGTTTACATCTGGCTGCTCTCTCTCTGCTTGTCTATACAGAGGACAACATTTAACCCTTCAATATATATGAGCAGTAAATAAATGTTGCTTTCATATTCTTATGTAGAGTAATGAGATATGTTTTCACATGTGCGCACTTACATACGCGCAGTCTCACTTTTTTTTTTACCATTAATGGTTAGCTACTTATATTGTTCCATTTATTAACATTAAATAACATTACAGGTACTTCAAACAACCATATTAATTTTTTTACATTCATTTTACTACAGCTAAACTCAGGGTCTTATTTTCTTCAGTTTTATATGTAGAACCAATCAGTCACTGGTTTTGTAAGCTGTAACATAAACAATGCCGGCAGCCGTCTCGTCTCCTCTAATATTCCACGTATTATTAACAAATTGAATTGTTAATTTTGCACACACAAACATTACCGTATATCACGGCCTATAAGACGAAATTTGAACATTAAAAAAATCTGCCCAAAGTTAGGGGGTCGTCTAAACCACCAAGTTTAAAATTCTTACCTCTTAAATATTGTGGTTTAGTGTGTCAAGAGTGGTGATGAAAACATCGTAAGCCACTCACAAGGTCTTACCACTAATTATTTTATACTGAAACTTACGTTTGGCAAGCTGGATTCAAATTAAGATTACCGGTATATTAAAATAATAAAAATGTATTATAAACCTGTCTAACATACCGTAAAAGAGATTTATACCCCTATAATAAACACAGCTATCATCACACACCCCTCCCCATTTGCCAGTGAGGAGCCGTGGAGGTGGTCAGTAATGCATACCGGTATCGGTATATTTACTCATAATAATATTTATCTCCTATAAATAATTGATTTAAATTTTATTTTTTTCCAAAGAATATTCAGTAAATGAGTGCATTAATTCTTGAAACTATCGACGGTTAATTACAGACGCTCAAGTGACGTCACTAGTGTTTACACTACACCAGCTGGTAATATTTGATGCCATTACTTGAAGTGAATTGGCCTTATTTTAAGTAACTAACTATAAATAAATACAAAAATTAAAAAAAAAGATCAAAACTGAGAAATAATATACTGTATGTATGTTGTGTTGTCAAAGTAAGAGGAACAATTGTGTAAGTACGTAATATTTTTTCACTCAAATCCTAATGAAACACTACTGGAAAACATTCCTTTGTCGCAAAACAGTTTATAAATTAAAGAAAATAATTACAGTGTGTTTAATATATTACAGTATATTATAAATAAATAAATAAAACAAATAATTCGGTAAATCTATTTAAAGTAAATGGAAAATAAGCAAACATGTTATTTACCAAGACCCTTCCGTCTGGCTCAGGGTGAGATGGAGGGGAGATAAAGAAGGCTATTTATAGCCCATCAGAAGTGGCTAGTACCCTAATGCACCATAAATAATTCATTGAAACATCACAATTAGAATACGGTGGTTGCTGTTGAACCACATGTTGTATAAATAGTCACACCACCCAGACGAGGGAACACTCCCACCACGCTTCAGTGACGTCACTAGTGTTTACACTACACCAGCGAGTATAATTTGATGACATTACTTGAAGTGAATTGGCCTTATTTTAAAAAATCAAGGATGGTTGGTAAAGGACTACTGAGTCAGTGGGTAAGTGTCACATTTGGGGTACTGGTCTTATACAGCAAATAGAGCTCAAAAGCTACTTTTTAAATGGAAATTTGGGGGGGGCGTCTTATGCACCCCGCCGCCTTATAGGCCGTGATATACGGTAGCCTCTTGCATAGCTGCTGTTAAAGCCATATATTCAGCTTCACATGAGGACAATGCTACAACATTCTGTTTCTTAGATTTCCAAGAAATCAATGGACCATCTTCATTTAATTGATACAGTCAGCTCTGCTATAACGCGATAGTTGTGTTCTTGTAAAACATCGTGTTATAGAAATTCGCGTAATAGAAATAACAGGGCTTATGGAGAAAATAGCGTTAGGTGCAGATTACTACTCGAAATCGAAAAAAATTTAGTAGTTAGCCGAACACAAAGGATAGCACAGTCTAAAAAAATGTTACATTCATATCTAATAATGAAATCATACAGTAAATGTAAAACTTT